GGCAGAAAGAGTTTTCTTTTAGCCTTAGTGCTTTCAATATAAAATTTGGTCGCGATAGGAGAAACTTTAGTGGTCGCACACAGCAAAAAAAAGCCGACTTAAAAAAAATATGTATATGTACCATGTATATATATATATATATCATGATCCAATGTTGGGATTATTACCCAACCACCTCTGAGACACTACCTTTCCGAATTATCGAAATCGGTTGACGTGGTCCAAAGTTATGCGGTAACATACATAAAAAAAAATATTCCGACGAACTGATGACCTCCTCCTTTTTTGGAAGTCGGTTAAAAATGAAAGAAATAGAAAATGAAGTGAAAGAGAAAATTCTGTAGAATTAAAAAAAATGTAAGGTAATATTAAATATTTTTTTGAATTTACCATATCTTTAAAACTTCAAAGTCCTTTTAAGGAAAATTCTCACGTCAGAGAGAAAAACTAAAAATGTAGCTTCACTATAAATAAATAAAATTTATGATCACGTTGTTACAGTTGGGAATATTGTTATCACAAGCTATCAATATGTAAAATTGCTGTTTTAAGTAAGAAGACCAGGTTGACCGAACTTTGCCCGGAGTGCATATATGTACTTTTTAAAGTTGTCAAGATTTGGATTGCCTTAAAAGAAAATATTTTGGAATTAAAAAAATAATTGGATTTCGTTATCTATTAAGTAAATTTCTTACTTCAAAATTTAGGTGGCAACCCTATTCCGAAATGCGCTGGAATGAATGGTACATATCTTGAGCTTATACATACTGTGTATGCATAAAAAAATGCTGATTGAAATTAACAAAATACTATTGTGTATTACATAGAAACGTGGCAACCCTGATGGAAAATATTTTCCGACCAAAATTCTCAACAATACCTTTCATTTGATATCGAAAGAATCAAAAATTAGTGGCAACCTTACACTATTATCCTAAGGAATAACATTTGGTATATATGGAACGCATTGTTTAAGAACCTTCTCTTGGTACCCATGAATAGTAATATTTCACCTACTTTTCTAAACAAAATGTATTTTATAAATATGCGATTCAAAATAGGTGGCTACCCTATTATAAATATTTTTGAAATAGGGATCTTTAAAGTGACTTCCATTTAAAAGATACCCATATTATGATGTTTTAATTAATTTGTAACTGATTTCGAATAGGTGGCAACCTTATACGAGTCTCCTCGGAGATAGTGCCTATTCAGATAACCTTAAAATTCAAAGTATTATCTGTGTAAAAAATTTCATCAAAATCGTTAGAGTCGTTTCCGAGAACGCTACGGATATATATATATATATATATATATAAGATACAATTAGGGGATTAAGCCAATATTTTTGGTGGATGACATTTATTAAATTTTTTCGCTTATTTATTTTTTTCATTTATTTTGATTATTTTATCATACATTTTTGTATAAAAATTGTGGCCACTCGGCAACACTGAAGTTTACGAGGCCGTTTGCGCATCAAATTTGCCTCGTAATTTTACGTGGGGCTTGTAAATAGAGCTCCATACAAATTTTGAAAGTTTTTTACGAGGCTCGTAAATTTAGGAGCTTTACGCGGTTTACGAGGCTTTTACGAGTTTAATGGACGACTCCTAATAATAATGAGATTTTCGGGACTGTTTTAATTGAACTCATACGTCGATGTCAGGATTGAATGAATATGTTTTTATTCTTATGTTTTTCGTTATGTTTATTTTTTCCGGTTGAGAACCGATGGCCTAGAGCATCTCGATGAAGATAGCACGAATTTCACATAAATTAATTAAACTTCAAAAAATTGTCATTAAAATTTCAAACTTTTTAACCAGAATTTATAGAAAAATTTCGGGTATACAGGTTTGTAGCCAAGTTTCAAATAGCTAAAAATTACAAAAATTAATTTTTGAAATTTTTTTTTTTTTGCTTCCATGCAACGTACATATGAACAAAATTTATTTTGGAAGAAAATGTGCAACATGCTCGACAATAAAATCTTCAAAAATCAACGGTAATTTTTAGCTACTTGAAATTTGCACTTTATTGGAATAAAATTGAATTGGCTACAAAACGGCAAACTCGAAAACTTTATCAAAACTCTGATTAAAAAGTTTGAAATTTCGATGGCCATTTTTTTGAAGTTTGAGTAATAATTGTAAAATTTGTACAAACTTTGCAAATTTTATTTATGTGGTTTCTGTTATACATTGATTGAGTTACGTACATGTAAATAAAATATGTTCAAAACAATATCATTTCTATAGCTGTAAGATTGGATATACTATATCAAACATACATACGTATGTGTATGAAGCTTACGTTTCTGTGCAAACGTCCGTCCTTAATGTCATTGCCATTTGACTTTTTTTTAAAATTTTTTTGTTGCCTTTATTCTCTGACCATTTGCCGAGTTTGAGGCAAATCTACATATGTACGTAAATACATACATACGAAGTGTGTAAACTTAATTTCAATGCTCACAAATCATTGTAAATGCAAGATGAATGTATGTATTTATAAGTGACTAATTGTTACTCAAAACTTAGCAATACATCCTCATTAATTCAATGCACTTTTTAACATATAGATATAAAATGCATTACAAATTCATCACTTTTCAACTGCGTTATGTTTATAGAACTTCCGATCGTATCAAAAGCTATGAATGTGCGTTCATTTCATTGTTTCTTCTCCGAACGGAAATCACCGGAAGAACCCGAATACTGAGATACACATTAGGTTTGTTCCACACGAGCCCGCGGGTGCCCAAAACCGCCCAGAAAACGTTCCTCACGCTAGAAAAATGTGTAATGGAGAGCGAATACCTTCCTATTTTGGATCGTAAATGTCTTCTTCTTCGTGCCCGAAACAGCCCAGTCTTTTTCCGGGCAAAAATGTGCAAGAAATCAATTTGAAATAAAAGCTGTGGTTTGTTTACATCGGATAGCAAATTTGTAAAATACAAAAATGGAAAATGTAGGTATTTGCTAATTTTATTAGCTATGTAAAATAAATACACATAAAATCATTGTTTACAACTTATTTAGTGATTTCGGTCACGAAAAGTGTTTTTTTTTGCGTTCCTCGCGCTCTGGGCACTTTTAGTACGGGTTGACACAATTTTGACACTTGTGAGAGAGTAACTTGGTTTTACGCTCTAATTACCGAAACAGCCCGGAAAGCGTGTGGAACAAACCTTATATAAGGTAAGTAAAAAGTCCCGTGTATTTTGTTATTTCTTTTTGGTATATCAGGATGTAAAAACGAAAGAAAATTGGCGAAGCTGTTGTATGTAGCAAGTCAAAAGTAAAAATATTCTAAATGGTCTAATCTGCCCACAATATGTAACTGTGGTTGTGGTGTATTATTGCTGATGTAACTAGTGAAATAGCTTGTGGCTGTGGTACTACATTCTGGTTAGCCAGTCAAGGCATATTCAACAAGGTAGAAGTGACATTTCAGTCGACTATAATGTCAAAAAATTTAAACAAAGAAGTTAAGCCTTTTTTATGCATTTACCATGTTTGATAACACTCAGTATCTTTGAATTGAAAGTTTTTGTAAATATTTAAAATCTCATTAGAATCAGCTTCATTTGAGTTATTGCATTTTCGTTTTAATGTAAATATGGAACTGCATACTTACACAAAATTACACACTAAATGAAATACGCTCATTTATAAAATCGTTTTGGCAATTTTCTTGTTTTTGAGCATTTATTTTTTTATTCAAATACTTAATTTTGACGTACATTAGACATTAAAAAAAAAGCTTGATTCTTCTAAATTTACATCAGAACTTCACTTCAATAATTTAGCTATTAAATTTTTGCAATTCGAAATTTCCTTTCCATTAAATTTTTTAAAAATTACTTCCAGTTTCTTTGTGTCAGCAAGGAATTCTGGTTTAGGTTTATCAGACCACCATTTGAAATTTGGCCTATCCATGTAGATAAATATATGAGTGGTAGATTTTCTGTTCATATTCGATATGATGAATCCTGCACTGGGAACAAACGCGTCCGCTTAGAAATACTCGGCTGCGATGGGCAACAAATAAAGTCATTGGCACTAAAATGGTTTTCGCGTGCACGTGAAGTCTCCTAATGAAACATCGCAGCAATTTGCCCATCGTTGTCGCTTCACTTGACAATTAGAAGGTTTAAAATAGCACACAAGTTTGTTGTCCTAGCTTTTGCCAAACACAACACACCGCCCGTTATTCCTTTTAATTTTATTATGTATTTAAAATTAGTCGCACAGTTCACAATGGAAAATTTAAATTAAAAAATTAAAATTTTGAATAGCATAGGGTTAAGAGTTGACATTTCAATCGCGGTTCAAAAGAGAGAAATGTCGAAATCACTTCTACCTTGTTATGCCTGGGTAAAAGCTTATTTTTTCGAGCTTTACTAGTTTTTTGATGTTTTGGAGGGTAGGGCATGTGTTTACGATTTAAAATACAATTTCTCCGAGTTTGTAGCATCTCAAACTACCATTTAGAAAAAGATAATCGGAAGTACCCGACAATTTCAAAATAACATCATTCCGGCGAACCGTGGTGTGCTCAAAAAATTCTAACACTTCTGAGAAAAAAGGTTGAAATTTGGTTGAAAATTTGATGCATTTTTTTTAGTATTTTACAAAGTTTTAAACTTGGGCTTAGTATATGGGCTTTGTTAGAGAAGGAACTTTGTTTTAATTGAAATTGAAACAAATAAATAATCATGAGTTTCAAGCAATATCATTTTGAAATGGGGGTGCTATTGTATTGGCCAATACTGTATGCATGTAAGTATATATATGTACATACACAAAACAGGATATAAGGCAAATGCGTTTCTTTAAGAGCGGAAAATATTCATGCATGAGAGCCATCCCTACATAAGCGCTTCGGGTCACGTGCCTGACAACCTGCCTTCTTTTGGCATATACAAATTTTATGAGCTAGAAGGAGATGAGCATACAAGTGAAACGTTCAACGCACTAATTTAGGGATGATAATGCTATGCGCAAAAATTGTGATTAATTCAGTTTCACTTTTGCTATCATCGTGGGTTATTATACATATACCTATAGTGCGCGAGACATATTGGTAAATTTACAATTTTTAGATTTTCAAGCCAATCAATCGAGCGTTTCTCAATGGATATAGAATTCATGTTACATATGTACCTATTTGTAGCCTAAAGTATGTATCCAACGAGAAGGAAGCATATGCGTAAACCGGCACTACCACCAGATATTAACCAGAGTTTCCCACGATTCTGCGCGATTAGTTCATCAATGGATTTGCCATACGACTCTCCATTTACCATGTAAACGTGTTGGGACCATGTTTGTTACCGACTGATCATCTCAAGGAATGACAAGCGGTATGCAAGATGTCATTCATTTTCATGAACAGCTGGTAATTACACATAAATTTTGCTTTTTATTGTTTCTTTTCAGGAAACAGGATGCAATGTCATGCATAATTTGCTTTAATATCTCCTTGTATTTTTTGTTTTAAATATTTATCTTAATTACAGTAAGAAAATAAACACTTCAGTAAGCACAGAAACATTTCACAAAATTTTTATTTGTACCAACCCCAGATTTTTTTAAATAATAAACTTTTATTTACCTGATTCATTACGCCAACGAGTTGACAAAACTAATTGCAAATTGGTATGAATCGAAGCATTATTTATTTCTCCTCAAAAATAGTTTTCTTTAAACAACAATGTTGTCTACATAAGATAGTGCTTTGGATATGCATACATATATATGGATCTACATACATTTATCCCAACTAAAAGACTCAAGTTAATTGCAAGCTTTTAACAACTAAATATTTCGCCATATTTTTATTTCCAAAACCGCAATTAAAAATGGCAAGGATGGAAACAGATACCAATTAGCAATAAACCGAAAAAGAAAAACTTGAGCGAAACTAAAAACACGAAAACCGGTATTAAAAATAATTTAATTAACTCAATGGTTACTTATTTTAAAATTTCTAAATATATTGTTACAATATTTTTTCATAACCTAAACAATGTACACACATAATTAATTACATATTTATTTGTATATGTACATATGTATGTATGTATGTTTGGCTTGGAAAACGCATTCGCTTTTAAATATGTATGTGAATCTTCCAGTACCTGAGAAAATAGAAATGCATAGCTATGTAAATGTATGTATGTACATACATATGTATGTAAATTAGGGTGATCTAAATATGCATGTGAAAAAGTAAAGTCGGAATTTTTATGCTACGATTGTTCTATGCCGAAAAAATATACCCCAATTTTTTAGTTTGAAATCAAAAAATATTTAGAGTTCGCTTAAAGCGCTCAAAGTTGTCCATGTATTTTATATGAGAAAAAAAACTTTTTGTAAAAATGATATAGAATTCTTGAAAATCAATATTTTTCGATAGGAAAACTCTGTTTCTCGTCAGGAGATTCCCAATAATACGCATTTATTTATTTAACCAGTTTTTCATAGTAACTATATTTTGAAGGTCCGCCAAAACCCACAGAAAATGCAATGGAGGGATTATTAAAAAATATTTAGTATTAAAAAATGGTTAAATAAACAATTGAGTATTGTTATTGGAAGTCTCTTGAAGAGAACCAGAGTTTTCCAATCGAAAAATATTGATTTTCAAGAGTTCTATACCATTTCTACGAAAAGTTGTTTTTTTTTCTCATATAAAATACATGAAAATCTTTGAGCGCTTTGAGTGATCTCTAAATATTTTATGATTTCAAAGATAAAAAATAGAGGTATATTTTTTCGATACAGAACAAGCCTAGGGGGTGACAGCATTAAAATTGCGACTTTACTCATTTTGGACCACCCTCATGCACATACATTTCTGCTATAAATATGCAACTGAGTACGTTTGCACATCAAGCCGATCTTGTTGTTGTCCCAATGAAATAGTCGTATATTATGAAGAAAAAGGAAACTTGATTAATTTGTTGTAAATTGAAAAATGCCCACATATATATGAACGGGTCTGCATACAAACATACAAGTGGCTATCGCTCTCGTGTCAAGTTGAAATTCAATGACCTTGACAATGCCTTTTCAGGTATTAACTGAATATTTACGCATGCTAAAGTTAAACTTTAAAAGTTTTGCAAATATCAAAACAGACACAATTGTGCTTACATATACATATGTATGTTTGTAAGTACATACATAAATATATGAAGTAAGTACATTCGCAAAACTTTATATTTACATATGTATGTACATACATACTACATACGAGGCATTCCTCGGCAACTGTGCAAAAACAAAGTTCGTGTCTTAAGTCTTTCGTGGAATTAATTTGTATAAATATCTTACAGTTCTTTTTTGATTAATTTTAATATTCAAACATTTCAAACTAATGGAACGCTATGAGAAATATTTTGTACTCGCTTCTATTCTTCTCGAAAAGCTCATAGAAGATTTGTTCCCGATTCGTTCTCAGGCAGGAAGTTCCTTAAACTTGTGCTCCCATTTAGTTCTCTTAAAAATGTTTCCGAAAATAATGTTCGCATTTCGTTCTCGTTGAGAATGTTCTCGACAGTTTTGTTCTCACTTTCGTTCTTGTTGAAACACCCCTTAAAGTTTTGTTCTCATTTCGGTTTGGGGTTTTAAGCGTTCTTAGGAACGAAACCACGAGAACGACATTTTGTTTCGATCATACCTTTTCTTCTCGGTTCCTGCAAGCTTACAAGCTTTTATTAAGTTTCACCTGTGTATAATCAAATCTCGCAATCTATTTTTTTACTCAACTTCCCAATGAGCTAGATGCTTAAAACTGTAAACTTAGGTCAGAACCTGATGACAATGCAGTATGAAAGATGAACTAATCCGCTAGGTGGCGCAAGTGTCGAGATATTATAAAACCCCGTATTTCTGGTCCGATATGATTCATATTTGGAATGTATGTATATTACTTACATGAAAAGCAATAACTCCACAAATTTTGCCCGATAGGTGGCGCAGCAGTGGAGTTATTTGCAAAATCCGTATTTATGGTCCGATTTGTTTCATATTTAGAACATACCTGCATTACATAAATGGAAAAAACACCTGCACAAAAAATTTTGCCGTCCCCCGATTTTTACTTTTTTACTTACCACTGAAAAAAGCTTTTTTAAAAAATTTTTTTTTTTTAAATTACTTATTTTAATAATAAACTACAAAATATTTTTTTCCAATTATATCACACAAATACTCATATGTGCGCTCGGTTTATAATTGCAAACTTTTTTCTTCTGTATAACGGTCGACTCTGTTAAAAAGCGAAATTTGAGAAAAACGGTTTTACCTAAAAATTTGATATTATATTTTAAGTGCACTCGTGTATAAAATCATTCTCCATTAGCCATTTCAAATACAATAGTAAAATGCAATGAAAAGTTACTAAGCATGCGCACACGCGAAAAGTGACAGAAACCCATTTAAATTTGACCATAAAAGCAACAAAGACAAATGTGCCACCAGAGAGCAAACACAAAACTGATCGTATATCTCTAAATCTAAATGTAAAGAAAAAATAGCAAAAAATAACGCCAAATAGTTTGAAGGCACGCATCATCACCTTGGGAAAGCACAAGTGCGGTGGGAATTCACGATAAGAAGCGTACATAAATCACGAAAAGTTAAGCAGTACCCAGCGTTGACAACATAAAACTCCTCACAGCAATAATAACCTCGAGAGCGTTAAAAGCACAAATATGTATAAGTGCAAAAAAATCTTTGTGTATAAAAGTATCCCTGTGGGGAAAATCTCTAGTTCTGAACTGGTGCGCTTGTAGTACATTTAGACCCAATACTGGTTCGCGATTGGCGAATTTAACATGGCGATATCCTAGGAAGTGTCAATTGCCCTGTAAATGAGAGCAATTTTTGGAGAGTTGTGTAGAGAATGAAGTTGCAAGATTTTACCCGAACCTTTTCTTCTGGTAAAATCATGAAAGCGATCACTGGTTGACGTTTTTACAGGAACAATGCTTTTTTT